GAAGTTTTCTAAATTAAAAATTAAATTATTTTAAATATATTTATTAAAAATATAAATTTATAATTTTAAAATTATGCGTACCAGAAATTGTATGTGTGGTTGTGAGGGTAATACAGTGGGCATGGATATTTAAGTTAGTGAAAGGCTAGTTTTATTATCATTTAATTAGATGACCACCTAGCAAGAGTGGAACATGTTGACTTAAAAGATATTTATTACAAATTAAAAATATTCAATGACTGTTTATCGTATGCTCATTAGATTTCTAAGATTATCTCAGATCCGGAGACTGACTTCTGTTGGCAAGCTAAGTTCAGAACTAAACCTAATTTTTCTGTGTGTTTGTTGAACTTCTAAAGAGATATGTTTATATCTTTTTTTTTTTTTTTTTTTTTTTCATTTTGCATGTTCTGCACCGTGAAACATATAATTGTAAATAATGAAATGAACGACAAGGAAACTATTTTGATTTGAAATTGATCTTACCTTGGACACATTTTGAGGACCAATGGCGATAACCCTGACTGTGCCGACGACCTTGGCGGTGAATTCGCCGCTAGTGATCAGCTTGAACCTCTGGTTTGAGCTGATGGGGTACGGAGGTCCCTTTGATGCCCGGATGACCGCCTCTGTTAGACCGGAAAGTACCAGTTCCCCCGAGCTCGTCAAACCGGAAGTGGAAAGGACGTGCAATCTGAGAGGCTGCCGCTGGAGCTGGTGTATCAATTGCGCTGGTCTCATCGGAAACATTATCGTCTTACCTAAATTATAAGCTTTCATTACTTTTCCTCAACATTATTCCTGTAGGTAGATGAGGCGAACTTACCGTTCTCTAGAGGCTCCCTCAAAATCAAGGTTTTGCTGTCCCTCCTTTCATCACGCGGTGTTACTTTTACTTCTTCGTCGCCTATCAGTTCCATCATAGGAATATCAAGCCCGACTTCTTTCTCAGTAGATGGAATTTTGAGGTTGGATTTTCTAATAAAATCAAGTCCGCTGTGCATAAGCTCGTCTCGCATCAGGCGATTAATTGTGAATCTTCTATCTCTTTCATTCATGTTAGTGAGATCGAAATCCAATCGTTTATTCATCATTATCTTTCTTTTCTTCATTAGACAAATAATCGCATCAATTACTTAATTGTAGTTCTTGAATATCTAGCCTTACAACTTAAATGGTGTTAATACTTTTTGTTTAAAATGTGCAATATAACACATACTAGTAATGTAAAAGCAATTTTTAAAATAAATTGTTGCTTATTGTAAAATTAATTCCATTATATTTTTTTAATCATAAGCAATTACAATAATCCTCCCAGAATATTTTTGCAAAATTCATGATTTCGTAATAATAAGGATGGAGAAAATGTACTAAAAATTATAAATACCTGAGCCATAATTTCTGTTTCTACTACTTCTTTTTTCCCAAACCTCTTGTTTTCATTTTCGTATATACTTCCTGCAATTGAAAATTGAACAAAAAATTAAACAATTACTAATTGTCAGCCAGATAAACTGATGATGTTACTGGTTATCAGGCATGTTTATTCGGTTATTGGTATCTCAATATTTAATTATAAATTTCCAAGGTCCCTACAAACTTTTCTTCATTTTCTTTACACTTTTCTATCTAGAATTTTTAATGTTTATAAATATATTAGTAGTATTGATGTTTCTAATTTAATTGCTCAAAAAAAAGGCTAAACAATATTGTCAGAATATTATTAGATAATCCCTAAAACTAATTCTAAAGCCAATCAAATATTGGTAAATAATTAGCCACTTGATGTTTTTCTTTGTATGACCTTCTATGAGTTGACTGAGTTACCTGACGACGGAAGCCGTAACAATTTTTAGGTCACCGCCATAATAATGGATTATTTTCCTAAAGCATAGGAACAAGTGGAATTATAAAAATATCCATTTACCTTTACTCATATTAATGGACCTGTTTGCGTACAGCGATGCTTGTGCGTTAACTTTGTTGCAAGGTCGAATCTCAAAGCAAGGTGAGTCAAAAATCTTCAGCCGCATCCAGTGATTACTGTATCCATAAAAAGTTCTTATGCTGTTAATGTATATTTCGATAGCATAAAGCTGCAGTGGAACATCCTCAATCTTTTGGTTTTCTTTCTTCAAGTATTCTTCACTGAATTCTACTCCCTTCATATATTTGTCTTCTAATCTTAACTTGAATTCTGACAGATCCTCTTCTTCGCTAGTTTCTTCTTCCTCCCCTTCCTCTTCCTCTTCCTCCTCTCCTTCCCCCATTTCATCATATTCATCACTCTCTCCATAGATCTCTTTAAATTGGTTCCTTATCACTTCACTGCTTTCTGAAACATCACTGGCATTTTCATTTTCTAAGGTCGAATCCTTAATGTGTGCGGATGCAAATTTAACACCCCTTTCTTTAGGTTTATCTTCCTCCTCATCTTGCAATATTCGTTGTTCTGCTGATAATCTTTTAGGATCTTCTCCTTCTCCACCCTCTCTCTTTTCTTCTTTATCCATCTTGCTGTTTGATCCTTATATCGGCGTGTTCAGGAAGATTTCTTCGATGTTATCGTTTCCTGAATTGAATTTGTAACTGTGAATTTGTTTATTGTGTCGAAGTAAATTATAGGTAAAAATAGTTAGGTTACATCATGTGGTGATAACCATCTGTGTATATTGAAAAATGTTGAAAGACTACTTTTATAATGTATATTATAACTTCTTAATATTTTCCATTCAATTAAATGATGACTGGTGAAAAAATAACTTTTGTGGTGTTATTTAATTTGAATTAGTTAATTGGGATTGAACCTTCGAGGAAGAATAAATCTCAGCCTAATGAAATTCGTATTCGTAATTAATACCCTCTCCGCGGTTAATTACTTTCATTACGATAAGATTGCTGAACTATCTCTTGGGTTGGAAAGGTTATTTATTGCTATAATCCTGGGGTGGAAGTCTATCCGCAAGGAGGAGGGCTCTTTGAAAAGGTGAAACTCAGGATGTTGCCCCCTTCAATATATTATTACGGTTAGATTGGTTTCAGTTTTATTGTTTCCTGAATTAAACGGTCCTTAACATATTTTAAAATAAGAAAATTATAAATAAAGAGTAGTTTATTGGCAATAATAGGCATACGAGAATCCCAACGTATCGACCCACTGCCAACGAAACCCCGTACGGCAGCCATGCCTGTCAGGAGGATACAAAAGAAAAAAAAATCAGTTTTATTTTAAAATCTTTTATCTTTTTAATAACTGCTTTCATAAAGAGCGCAAATTTCCTTATAAATAATTTGTTTAAATTACATTAATCCCCTAAATAAAGTAATTCATACTCAGCATTAATTTGTTTTATTGTTTTGTGTTTGATGGTGTTTTATTGGAACGAAACCATTGGATATACAAGCTTGAAATCGGTTCATAAATTTTGAAGTTCTTTTGTAATTAGCATATTAAAAAAATTGATTTAATTAAGTAAAATTTAAACGCTCTCTATGTTATCTGTTTGCATAGAAACAGATTTTTCTTTGATGATAGAATCCATTAAGTATGGTTCGTACTTTTTTCACTTATGGTTTTGCCTAGATGAATTTCGGCAATATTATTTTCATCTAAAACACCAAAGCATTATTTGTCCATTCGTATATGAATAAATCAATAAAGTTGGAATCGGCTATCATTTATTCGAAAAGTTAATGTAAACCGGTAACGAACTGGGGAGCGAAATAAATGTTGTTATTTTTCTTTGACGGAATTACTTTCGTAGTTCCACACTCCTCCTGCCCCGAAACGTATAATTAGAATTTACAAAACCATTATCCTACCTTGGTTTTTTATGTGGCCGCTTACATTAGGAAATGAGCAACTCCTTAAGGTTTTTGAAAATAAAAAAAGTATTGCATAGAATATTTGGACCGAAGATGTATGAGTCAACCGGGGAATTTCGACGGTTGCACAATGCCGAATTGCGTTGGCCGTATTCGGTTAATATAATGGAAGTGGTTACATTTCGGGGAATAAAATGGGCGTGTAAAATTTGAATGGGCTTAGTATCAAAAGGATTCCTAAAAGACTAGTATGCGCTGTGTCGACTGGTCAACGTCAGAGGGATAGATCGAAGCGAAAGTGGAAGAACGGGAGGAGGCGTTAAGTTTGATAAGGGTTTGGATAGCGACCGGTGGAGAGAGGTGTGTAAAAACCGTTGGTGGTGTCGGAATCGAACCTTCGGGATTGCTAAACCTTTTATTATTATTATTATATGAATAAATGCTTTTTAATAATACAATGAGACTTTTTTTTTATATAATTGTGAGTTTTCTCTAATATAACATAAAAATATAAGTTATATTACGTGAGTTGTAGACAAAGGTTTAAGTGTTATCAATTTCATTCTTGCGTACAAGAACTGGAACGTCTTGTTTTTAAATAAATTAGTGGTGAATATTAAATTATAGTTTTCATAAGAATATTGTAGTAGTGTTAAAAGTATAACTATACTTTTTCGTGAAGTGTGAATATAAGTACAAGGCACCCCAAGCTTCTATATGTTTTATTTTTAGCAATATTCCCAACCAAATAATAAAGATAATAATAGTTGGGGTGGTCAGTGAAAAAGGAAGGCAAAAATAAATGATAATATTTATTTTTACATATGCCGACGTTTCGACCTGAAGTTCAGGCCTTCATCAGGGCTAAGAAAATAACCAGATAACAAGGTATGAGAAACATAAGTAGAGATGGTAAAAAAAAAAAAAAAATAATAATAAAAAATAAAAATAAAAATTAAAAAAAAAGTAAATAAATATAAAGTAAAATGAAATTGTTAGAATAATGAATGAATGAATGAATGAATTGTAAAAATAAATATTATCATTTATTTTTGCCTTCCTTTTTGACTGACCACTCCAACTATTCTTCTCTTCATTATCCACGACAGTCAACCAATTACCAATTATAACGACCAAATAATAATTGCTAACCATACTTTTTTCTTCGTTCGCAGGTGTTCTCAGAAGTGAAGATCATGTTCAGTGTCGGAGGTACCTACTACTACGGCGACCCGATATCATTCTCTTATATGGAGGACAGGATCTTCGAGTACAACAGGAACGTGTCCATCAAGCTCCACAGGCGGGTGGGTAGGTTCGTCAAGCTCCAACTCCACTTCGCTGCCAGGTGGATCATGATAAGCGAAGTAACCTTCGATTCAGGTGAGATTTAATAATCTAGTTGGATAAAATAAAGTAAATAACAACTCTATAATAGCTTGAAATTTTGTTGTTAATAAGATAAATAAATTAAAACTTAACTTTTTTTTCAACGTAATTTTTAAATCCAATCTGGGGCTGTCATCGATTGACCCTGGTATCGGGAGACCCTCCTGAGACACACCCAGCCTCTATAAAGTGGGTATTCTTTAATAAATAACTAATTATGAGGGAAATTCTTGCGGTTGAGCGTGATCTCGGTCAAATCATCTCCTTGTAAAGTTCTGAGCTCAAGATGAGTTCTGAGCTTTTTAGTTTGTAGTGGTACAGGATTATTTTTAATTTTTATGCTTGTTCATTGTTTATTACAGAAAAAATAATAATAATAAAATCTTTTAATGATAACACAATTGCAGATGTAGAATTCTAAGATTTCGTTTTAAATGTTATATAAATGATGAGTATTGTCATTACATTTTATATTTAAAATCAAATGTAGAAGAAAATTTTTCTTGAAATTATCCATGGAAACGTTAATGTTATCCTATTGCTATTCTAACGCCGCCGAATTGGTGTTTCAAACACGTTGCAAATCCCTAAAACCAAGATGATCCAATTTTCTGAAATGGTTACTGTTGAGACAGCCGAGTTTGCAACACACGGAATATTTGACTTGTAAATCCTACACCCCCTGACCTTATTACCCGCCTCTTGATACGGAACGCTCCGTCGAGTATCACTTAGTTCTCGATGAAGCGAGAATACTCGTTAGCTAGTGACCTCAAGAAAGTTTTCACAAAGCAGGTCGCCATTAGGAAGGAGGAGGGCACGGAGATAAGAAAAAATTCCATCATCATCTCCATTTCCTCCGGGGCGCCTATCATCACGGAATATCTCGTGATAAGAGCAGATCCTCCCTCTACCACCGCCCTCACAAATAAATTACTCAACGTCTTTCCTTTTCCAATTCTGACCATGGCACAGTTATAGCCAGCAAAAAGCAGAAGGTGGAAGGTTCGCTCATCTTTAAAAAAAATCCAGTCAACGATCCCCTGCCTTCTTCATTACGAAAGCAGAACGTTTTTTCGTTTCATCTTCCTTTATTAAAGGCAGTTTCAGTTATTAAACACGAACGAACATTAGCATTGACAATTTACATCCAGTTAATCAAAAACTACCTGAGCGAACGCTCATGTACCATCTACTCCACCATGTACCATCATGTATTGATTGTTAACATAATTAACAATTAATATAATCATCCTTTTCTACTCTTTTTGCTGCATATAATATATTTATACTGAAATTTAGCACTGCGAATTTCATTAAAAATAATTGGGATTGAACAAAAGCAAAATTTTTTGATAATATAGAACATGCCTTCTTTTTTTTCTTTTTTTCTGTTGGCAATACCTTGATAGATCTTGAAGATCTTAAGATTGTAAGGATTGAAATGACAAAGTAGACACTTAAGACTTTTATTTAATTCTATAATTTAGTATTAATATGATCGCAATAATAATTGCCTACAATTTGAAAAAAATCCGTAGTAATCTACAGAAACTTTATTACATTATCTTTTCAGTCGTTCTTATCAGAAACATATATTTTATTTATTTTTTTTTTTTTTACGAAAATATTCTGTCAGCATCTAACATAAAAAATTGAAGACCGTGATAGCAGTATTGTTCTTTATTGCCCAGTTTAATTCAGGTCGTTAATTGTGTCTCGTGTAATTGTCATACCAGTAAATAAGAGAGGAATTAGAATAAAAAACTAAGGACATAAGAGAAGTCAGTGGCAGCGATAAATTCTGCTCGCTCCGAGATGATAACGTCAAAAAAAGATGACAAAAAATAACAAAGAGGATTTTATGCTTTCTTCCAACCCTTCTCGGAAGATTGTACAAAAGGAAAAGGACAATAATTGTGGGGTTCGAAAAGGGACGAAGTCTTCCCTCTAAATAATGAAGTTGTTTAAATAATGAGAAGGGCCTAGTGAGGGAAAGAGAATCTGTTTACTGGTTTCAGATGTGACTGACGATAAAGACACCGTCCGGGGTTGTACCTTTGGGTTATCGCACGCTGGGATCTCTCCGATGGCTACTATCTCTCTTTGTAGCCTCCTCTCTTTTATTTACCCTCCGTTTAATCCTTTTTATTCTATTTTTAACTTATCCTGCATTCGTCGTAAGTTGCTAACCAGAGTGCTCCCAGAAAATTCGGTCGTTTATTTATTTCATTCTAGTTCCTTAATATTTTATTTAATTATCGCATCTACCGTTGGAATGTGGATATACGTGATGATATGATACGTGAAAAACCATCTCATTAACAAAGTTTTACTAAATAAGGATAACTATAAATCTGTAATAATTCCCAAATAGAAACATATCAATGACAATCCTTACCCACGAGATTAAGTTGCGATAGATTCCGTTTGAATCCTACTCGAGACTTCAAAGACTGAAATTTCCATTCCTTATTCCAGGGTTGAAAAAATTGTGAATGAGCTCTTTATCATGCAGATTTCCTCCCCCCCTTAGATTCGCCTCATAATGATGGAATTTCCACTTCAAGACTTTTCCTTCAGACTCCTCTAATTGTTGTGTTGTATTTTCGTTTTTCTCACTTGATGAATATATTCGTGATTTATCGGCAATAAATAATTTCATATCAGAGCGATTTGTTTAAAATAATGTTTCAATCAAATCGATCCAATGTTATGAACATCACGGATTGCTTTCGGATTTATAGTGATTACTGTAATTTCTTAATAGTAGTGTATTCTAAAAAGGTACGAGTTACTAATCATTTAACCGAAATGTAAATTAAATCATTGTTTTTGATCTATCATTGTTTCTATCATTGGGGTTCGATGTAGGAAGGTGGGTATCTATCGAATGTTTCGAAAATATAGATAGTATTGTCATATTTTGGTTATCATATCTAATAATAAACCTTCGTGTTAAACTCGTCCACCTCAAAATTTAAGCTTTTACGTTAAAGTTTCAAAAAACGAAGAATCCGAAAATCGAAAAAATAAAGCCTTTCAAATAAAAAAAAAAAAAAAATTCTCTTATACCCCTGGTTTACTCTTACATCACAATACATCCATTTTTTGAATCCATTTTTTTTTTTTTTTTTTTGCACAAACTGAAAGGCACCCTTGGCTAAAAATTTACTCGATGATTTTCTTAATTAAATTTTTAAACGACTAGTACACCCGTGCTAAAAATTCGCACAGGATATTGTTAAGTGATCAAATGCCAAATTAATAATCAAATAAAATAATGCAACGTATCATAAAATATAGAAATAAATTGTTACTTTATCCACAAATATAATCGACAAAGAAAACAAAAATTAATTTAAAACTTCATAAATGTTTGAAACCAACATGTTTATAAATTTCAGTAAGCTGTATCTTGCTAAGAATTGTCTGATTTCGTTTTTTTTTTTTTTTTTTTTTATTCTTTTGTAGGGAATTTAATAATATTTTATATAATCATGGGAAAAAGTGCGTACTTTTTTAGTTATTCGCAAATAAAGTTTCTTTTCTTGCATAACTTGTTTGCTTGAATTTTCGAGGTGATTTCACTATTTTGTGCGCCTGAAGGAGAAGGAAGCCTTCAAAATTGGTGGCTCAATCTTGGGATTTGGTGAAGAATTAAGGATGATATGGCTTGCCGATCAACAACACCATCGATAAATAATATAAACTCCTCTTCTCTCGATCATAGAGGCCTCAAGTCGACTAAATGAGACATTTGTTCAAAGACAGTACTACAAGTAATGTACGGTTGTGTGGATACGAACCCTATGCATTGTGTTTTTAGGCTACTTACGTTTTTGGGCTTAAAGACGCAGAGCTGTACGCATCAAAATCTCCAAAGCCCAATTTGTCCCGTATCGATCTACAGACCTACCACCGTTCCAGTACTGAAGCCAAACAAAATATTTGTATCGACTTTACTTATTTTAGAAAGAAAAATAAAAGTTGATAGTACGATTCGCTAACCCTCCGTGAAATTCTGAATCCAACGGTACCCCATTCATGGTATTTGAGCATGATTGGAGCTTATATTTGGTACAAAACCGATTTCGAGCGTTACTGTAATAATATATGTGGGGATGGGGATGGGAATTCTTTTTTCAGGACTATAATATTATTTTATAAGTTTTGAAAATTTGTAACATTTAAGTAATATTTGGTTAACTGTGGACGGTCAGAATGGTGAAGATATGTAATTGAATCTGCGTGTTTGATTTAATATTTATTTTGGTTTTTTTTTTCGTATTCCGTTTATATCAGTAGTGAATTCCCATCATATCCGGAAGAAGAAACAAAAGTTGGTGGAGGGCTCCTGGAGAACTGGCCAGGTATGACATATTAAAAGCAGGGAGAGGAAACAATGGACTAGGAGGGGTAGGGGTTTGTGACATAGGTATGACGTGGTTATTGGGATTCCTGGGATGGTAGGCCAAGTATGCGCCCTCACAAAGGAAACCCTGCATAGCCCTTCCCCCACAGCTCTGGTATTAGCATAACATCCGGGGCAATTAGGACAACTTTTGCCAAAGCCTAAATATGTCGCCTTCCAGCCCAAGTCAATATCGGCTCCAAGGAATTTGATTTGGATATTCAGTAATTATAGTTCATGTTGTCGCACATTGGATCGTAACTCATTCCTTTGTCTTGGATGAGTTTCTCTGTTTCTATTACTGAAGTTAAAGTAATTTATTACTTCGACCTTCTGGAAACTATGTATGTCACGACAAAAATTTTTGGAACTTTTATTTCCTCGTCTTTTTTTTTTTTTTCTTTTTTAAGTTCCGTCAAACAATGCTGGCAAAATAGAGAATAGAATTCATTATTCCTTTTGTTAAAGTTCCATATCCCTCATCAAAGAAGATCGATTTTCAGTAATGGTTCGGTATACTTGACCTCAATTTCACTAATACAACCCAGTCGGTCGATGGCAAACTTTGTATTTAACCGCTGATGTTAGTTCTTGTTAAACATAATGATGGAAAATCGTTCCGTGCTTCATTATCTACAAAACTTGGCTTATTCAGAAGAGCCTTCAATGATTTCCTGTTACTTTTTATATGATTGTCGATATCGAAAGCAATTATATCGGTGACCAATAAGATAGGTGATATAATCCGGTGTGTATTACTCGAGTGAGGCTTTCCTTATAGAATTGACATTTTTGACACATTTCATAAATAATCATTATTACAAACTAAAGCAAGAAAAAATATTGGAAAATATATAGCAAATCGTTGTGCGTTATAATCTCTAATTACATCAGCGGCCACTTTCAGATAGTGGGGACATGTACTGTATCAATAATTTGACAATAATAACATTAGAAAATAATTATACTTTCAATATCCATATCTGGAAGCCTCATTGTCACTAGTTAAAGAAATAATTCAGTATTAGTGTATTTAATAGTTACGAAATTTCGTTTACCAGTATCTTTAATCATACTTTTTTATTTTAGATGTTGCACATGGAAACTTCACTCCTGAGTTACCTCCGAACCACGAGCGATTACCCGTCCAGAGTGATGTCTTCATCGTGGACAAAGAGCAAAATCGGCCGCAGTCCGAAATACCTGGTAACATGTTCATCTTGAATCTTTTCTTTTCTATCCTTATAGGCCCTTTTTACTTTTACTCACTCAATACTCTGCGTAACAGTTGCGAAACAAGATGACCACACCTACATGGCTGTGATCATTGGTATCCTGATGGCCGTGATTATCCTCCTGGCTGTGTGCATCTTCCTCATCGTGTCTCGACATCGACAGAGGAAGTGTTTCGCCTCGCCCCTGGCAGCCAAAAGTGTTCTACCTGGAGCCATCAGCTCTGCCGGAAGCTCTTGCGGCACTGAGAAGGCCTACTCCTCGAAGGGGACCCTCCCGCTGGGCCCGGACACTGCCCTCTTGATGGACATGAAGAGTGACGAGTACCAGGAGCCTTACCAAGCCCTCAAGTACGCTCCTTACTATTCTTACAGCACCGTTGTCATGGAGATGAGGGATGCGCTGGACAAGCAGCCTCACCCGTCTGGTATGTTTAATATTATTTTAAATATGAATTGTTTTTAATTCTATTTTTTTAAATGGAACTATGATAAACCTTATCATTCCAGATACATCTTACGACTACGCAGTCCCGGAAGTGGCTAACAATACTCTTCCCTTATTGAGCGGAGAAAACCCACCTCTACCATTAGTTCAAGATAACAAAGAATCCTTGTACCACAGTAAAGGCACATCAAGATCTAAAGAGGACAAGACGAAAAAGGTATGTGGACTATTCTTAGTTATCAATTGAGTTGATATAATTTTCAAGGTTCCACATTTTAATTCATAAAAACAGTTGAATGGTTTCCAAAAATAATGGAAGGGTTGGTGGTAAATCCACTGTATCTCCTCAAGGCAGACTGGCTATAATGAGGACGTAGATATGTTAGGAAGGAGGTGCCTGTAGGATTGGAGCTAACAAGAGACCGTTTGTTCCTACTAAAACCTGTGCCACATAAATCCAGCCTTTGTCCTTCCTAACAGCTCCTCTCTTCTATTTCTTCTTTCTTGCCTTTTCTCTTGTTTATTTGTTTATTATTGCTTTTCTTAATGATTGCCAGTCTTGTCTTGCAACCGTTGGTACAGCTTGCCCTATTCCTTGTAACATAACCGGAGTGAATATTGCATTCCATCCAATTCTCGATAAAGTTAGTAATTTGAATGATAAATTTAAATACATTTATTTCTGACCCTTTGATTCCCACATAAATTAACCAGTTTTTATTTGTATTACTACCAAATTTGGACAATTATCATTTGAATTTATTGTACAATTTTATTATAAATAGTAATATTTTAACTTTTAAATGTCTAAACAAAACGTGCCGTGACATCTAGCATGCTTTCGGCATAACTTACATTTTTGGACTTTTAAACTAATGGCCCGATATTTTGTAGAAACCCAAACGAGTCTTGTGGTCTACCTCTTAAATGCTTTAATAAAATTTCAGTGATCCATTCTTGTTCTAAGTCGACAACATTATACACTTATTGATTGCGTTACTGAAATTTTAGTTATGAATGACAATTATCGTAACCCAGCATTGTTTTTTTCTGAATTCCTTAGTAACATCATTTTTTTTTTTCAGAATGAATAATTCTTGTCACTGTTATTATTGATTTCGTTCGGGTTTTGTTATTTTTTAGACATAAGTGGTAATATTTCTCGTCAGTAAAAATACAAGAAAACGAATAATAATATTGTAATATCGACTTTTTTCTAAGGTTCTTCGTAAAATATGTTGCTAAGCACAACATGATTAAATATTTTAATTAATTTTGATCAAATATTTAACCCTAATTTTATCATTATATCGCTTTATGTTCTTATGGTGTTCGTTCTCTGCTTTACTTTACAATGGTGTAATATTTCTTCTAGATTTCTATGAATATTCATCATCTTTATGATGTTTTAATATTCAGTAATCTATTTAGATTTCAGCTTAAATTTTGAACATTTTTATCAAGTTTAGAATTTATCAAAACAACCAATACAATTTGTATACTTTTGTTATGGTTGATATTATTCAAATTAAAAAACATCTTTTGATCCATGTTTTAAACCTGATTTGTATTTTGGAATATATTAACATATTTTACGCTGTTATTATTTTTTTTTTTTTGTGAAATAAATTAAATTAATATTGTTTTGAAAAAAAAATACCTCATCAAAACGTGAAACTTTGCATGCGTACAGTATGCCGCCTGCATTATCATTTGTCCCTGTAATTAATAAAAACATGTGCGTGTTGAAACTGCTGGGTCGGAGTAGCGATAAGCCACACAATGATAAAGAACTTTTTTTATGAAATATGAAGCAAGTCCTTGAACATACTTCACCAGTTTATTCTTTTATGCTAATGTTTAATTTTTTTTCCGACGCACTTTGTATTTTCTAATTATTTCTATTTTCACAGTCTTATATTTTTACTCGAATGAGTTAAGTTTTAACCGAGCTTAGTTATGTATTAAAATGTAGGATCCTAATTTAGATAAAGGTGTATTTTCCGAAAAAAAAAACTAAAACCTGAAACTTCAGACTCATTATGATTGTGTTGGTTGGTGAATGGTAAGTCAGGTTTTTGTAGTCTCCAATCGATCCATATTTCTCCTTTTAATATAAGTAGGTTTAAAGAACAGTGGGAAGTGTTATAATCTTTTATATAATTACTTTTACGTTTCTGGGAACTTAGAGCGAAATTGAAACAGAAAATTTACTGGTATTCCCCATCTTTAACTTGTTCTGTTAGATATTGTAGACTCGAAGGTCTTGATGGCCGAAAACCGTAAACTTCTATAGTCTACCGACACCGGTTCGAATCCGGGCTTGGAGAGTTGAAACTTATTTACTGGTGGACCTACGGAATGAATCTCGACCCTTCCACTCTGGTTAAAAGAGGTTTGTTTGTACTTCTGGAACTATCTTTGTCCGCAAATGCTAGAAATTTTAGCTCTCTACGAATTCTCTCATATTTGTTTTATTTGTATTTACTTCGGAACCTAATCTCTATATCGCCTCGTACTGAATTAATTATTTTCCTCATCTTCACACAACAGGACAAAGTGGTCAGATTATCCTCGGGTAGCTTATTACAATAGTTAAATATTTTCTCGTAAGAATTTAAATTTTAATAATATATTACGATAATAATTAAAAGGAAAATGGTTAATGGAAAACATCGTATTTTAAACATTATAAGAAATAACGTGGAATTAAATTAATCGACAATCAAAATGAGGATACGCCTACATATTACTATATATTATTATAAAATTTATGATAATCAACAGAATCGAAAGGGAGGGAGTGGCTCAGTGGTAGGGTACTGAGCTTCTAATGCTAAAGGACCCAGGTTCGAATCCGGGCTCATGGCAGAACAATTATTTATTCTGTTTCATTGGCAGTGGGGTGACCCTGGGTGGGTAGACCCCTCCTGGGGTATACTCAGCCTCCATAAATTTGGTCCATAAATTAATTAAAATAATTAATCAAGGAGAAAAACCTGGCGGTTGAGCGTGATCTCGGTCAAATAACCTTGCACAACCGTAGACCAAGAAACGGTGCTTTTCCTAAATAGGACTGAACTCAAAGACTTCGGATTGTAGGTGGATTGTAGATTGTAGTCGTAGTCTTTTTTTTTTTTTTTTTTTTTTTTTTATAGAATCTTTTTTTCGAAATCTATGATATTCTACTATACACAGTAGTGGTTCGAGATACTGTCTCTAATCTTTTAAGATTGCGAATATGAAATGTTCTCTCTTTTGATGTGATATCTTTTTCTGTTCTGATGATTCCTGAATATGCGAAACGTTAAACAATTATGTATTTGCTAGAATATTCTAAAATAAATTTAAATATTTCTAAAGGAGAGAAAAAGGAAAAAAAATGTTATAGTTATATATAATAAATAAAAATGTATAAAAGTGCCTTTAAAACGGTCTGCCGCAGACGCAGGTATAAATTTCTGGTAGGCCTTTCAGTGACCAGCCTATATTTCACAGCTGCCCAGTGAAGGGATGTATTACTTTTATGTGGGGCTGTAAAAAGGGTAAAGTCTGCTCTCATATCGGATATCTTTTATAGCACTAATACCCCCTTCTGATCCTAATGTCTCGATAATAAATCTCCTATCCAGGCTTCCGTATCTATTCAATGTTGATTAAATATTTTATGATTAATGGACTATAAAAACAATGGATTAATTTTTTCATGGAGCAATATGGAAATTTAAAAAAAATATTTGTAGAAAAAATTCTTTATGTTCTTAAATTACGGAATGATTAACGACTGTTGATTTTTGGATCAAATCATTGCCATAGGTGAATACCATAGCAATTCACGTTCTCAGTTACCTTATTAATAACAATTAATAAATTTTCTTATTTCTAAGGATTCGTTCTATGCTGAACAGCTTCATATGAAATGCTTAGGATTTTGTAGCGGATACTTCAACTCACAATACTCCTTAGAATAAAAATTACGAATATTAGAAGAAAAATGTACAAAAACAATAATGTTCCGCCCAAGAGCCAATCCGACTTATTAAATGTGATTTCCAGTTATAGCCTAGAAGCTTTGAAACTAAAAATTTTAGGAGACCTGATTAGTCTGAAGTACATATTAGACCATATTTGAAGTACTTACCCAGTTAAGTAGCCAGCAATAGTAATTAGTTATTATATGACATTTTTAGGTAGTCGTAAATCCGACCAGCTTCACTTGTTTTTTCGGAAAAATTAAACTGAAAATAAAGCTACTTCATCTAAAAGAATTTCAATTTCCTTATAAAATTTTGTAGAAAACTTGTCAATATATTAAATTTAGTTAGGAAAAAAAAACTTCAATGAAAATATACTTTATCGTATTCTTTTAAATGTAGTTGAAGTTTAGGGAATGTATCCCATCTTTAGGGCTTAGTTCTTAGATATTTCAGTAATATTTTTGTTGTTCATAGAAAAAATATATACTAGTTTGGTAAAGCTTCAATTGATATTGCTAGATAATTGTTTTATTTCATGGACACTACTTAATTCTGAAAAAAACAAAACATTTTTCAATAAATTATAGAAAATGTATGAGTTTTAATTCTTTTTATCTGGAAACCAAATATTTTCCTTTAATTAATTATTCAAACATTACTACCAAAATTGTTCAGCATTTCATCTTCTCTGTAATGAGCTATTATTCAAAATTGTATCTGAATGCGACGCCGTGTTAGAGAGGCGAAAAGGAGAAAAATAGTGTCGAAAACCAAATGATTGCCAGTTTAATTGAATATATGGATTGAAATATCTCAGAAACTAAAAATCGGACCTCCATACTGTAAGCGAGAGAAATATTCAGCATTCCATTCTCTTTATAACGAGTTATTATTTATAATTTGTATTTCATATTATTAATCTCGCCGTTTTGATGTTTTCGCTTTTATCTTGTGGTTAAAAGCACACAACTTAGTTTTTATTTTGATATTCACACTTATTTTTGCTATTCTGATTACTTCTGTATCTTATGGTCAGTTGAGTTGGACGATTTACCCCACCCATTCTTGTTGGTACCTTCCCAGATGCCCCGCGACACATGCTAAATATTCTTCCACCACAGCAAGGTGGGGAGGGACCCTATATTTGCCAGCACTCCCGAGTAAAGAGCTTTATGGAATGGATTGGTAAAAGGCTGAGAGGCTATCGATCACTTTTAGAGCCGATCCGGGACAATGGGTAATCTTTATCCCTTTGATTCTTCCATTGTTCTCCGGTCGACTTCGGCGGTTCGATGGCTCTCAAGTAGTCCATAACCCCACTTAAGGGGAGGGTCTTATATCCCCCTTCTTGACGTTCTCTGCTAATTGTCTCCTTCGAATTCGAACGGCTTGGAAGATTAAAAGTAAAAACTGGGAAATCTCTAACGGGAAAAGAAAATTTTCTAGCTCCAAAGCGTTTAGTAAGATTTTTTTTTTTATCATCCAGTCCTAATTAATCACAAGCATTTTATTTATAATAATAAAATGTCTCACTCATTAAAAGAAACAAAGAGATATAATTGTTTTGATTTTCACATAATACTTTTAATGAATAATCAATATTGTTAAATATGAACTTGAGCTATATTTCGAATATGGTAGAATTCAATTTACCATTGTAAAAGTACTGGTATAACCATTTCGTTATTTTATGAAACATGCATATCACCACAACTCACACATTCGATAAAATTCGGTGAACGCTGGAAACGATTTAAATGAGAAATCTCTTTGCCTAAGTAGAAAATATATCTTCAAGATATCTCTACATACTGGTTTTTTTTTTTTGCACGATGTTATACTACTATGGTGTTCATTTTATTAATATTAATTTAGTTTGGAACGTATGTTTACCCGTGTATGTATACACTACCGGCGTAGCCTTCATGTTTAGTAGATAGGGGTTCACTGCAAGTAGTTCAAATCTCTTGATAGCACTAGCGGATCCAGGATTTAATTTTGGGGGGCTTCAGCCCGAAAGCTTTTTTTCCATAAAAAAAACGATAATTACTTTTGGAAAAAAATAAAGAAACTAACTACCTCTATAAAATGGTGTTTAAGTTATTCCTAAAGCCCTTAATGTAATTACACGAACAATAACACTTTGAGAGATAATTTTTTCGATAAAACATGGTTATATTTTCCCATTTTGGGGGGCTTCAGCCCGAAAGCCCCCTTCCTCCCCCCCCACCGTAGATCCGCCCGTGCTTGATAGTGGTATTTACGAATCTCTACCTAAAGAGGTTAACTGGATGCTTGTATTGTCGGTGAAGATAGAGGTTTAAAGAATGGCTAGCATAGCTACTAACCTTAGAAACAAGGATTGAGAAGGATCCAGGGGTGAGATCTACTATCGTGATTCCTTAAAATTTAGAGCAATGCTAGAAATTATATATATTTTGACTATTGTGAATATTTAAAAAGTCAAAAGGAAGTTTTAACGCCCAAAATATTTATTGAGTAGACTCACTACATTTTTTTACATGAACAAGGCACTCGACAAGGCCACGTACCCGACGTGAAGGTTGGAGAGAGAGGAGACGTGCTAAATTTGAAAAGTCCCCGACGTGTTTACTTAAGACTAGTGCTGAGCCCTCCTAAAGAAAAGGGAAGGACATTTCCACAAGCCTAAGCGTAAAATAGGATTTGGCGATTTCGTGAAGACTTTAAAAGCACTCCCCTTCCACCCCCGAGGGGTTTGCTCTGTCATTCCGCCCTCTTCCCTCAACCATATTGCCTCCATCTTCTATTGGTCGCCTATAGATAATCCTCGTTAGTAAATAAGAAATATGGATACTTCGTTGTGATTTCTTAAGTTTAATTAGTTATTGACGATTGTAAATTGTGAATACATCCTTTAACACCGTTGTTAAATGCCATAAGATAAGACCCTTGGGTTAAATTTTCTCTAGTGTGTTGATTTAAAAAAATATATATATAAATACACAACAAGTTGGTCACCCATTCACCTGGGATTTTTAAAACTGTTTAAGTCCAATATTCATTATATCCCTTCTTTAAAAAACAATTGGCTGTTACAATTTCATTTCAATCTTGTTTCAGACTCCCACTCCTCAGGATGTCCTTACCGCACTTAAAAGGAGGCTTGAGCAGACATCTGTGCCTGAATTCCCAAGACATCGCCTTCGAATGGTCACTCAGCTTGGGGAAGGAGCTTTTGGAACGGTATTTATTACCTTATATCTTTTGAATTCCTTGGCAAGTCCCTTAAAACATTTAAAAACTTTTCAGGACATCATCTCTTATCTTTGGAACAATTCTTGTTATTTTGTATTCTTTCATATTAAAGAATGTGACAATAATGTAATTAGCAAATTACTAATTGTTTTATTTATTTTATTATTGACTAATAAAAATAAATTATAAGTTTTATTACTAAGAATTTTTCTAAAGACAGCGATGATACACCAAAATGTAAAAAAAGTTAAAAAATACTCCATAACCTTCAGTAATATTTATTATTAGTTATTGTAAATTTACTTTGTTTATTCTCATTGATAATCATAAAATCTTATTTTTTTTACATAAGCTCTAACTTTGTGGGCATTGCTTACAAATCAGATGACATTAGAAAATATCTGCTGTTGATTATTTATAGCAATCTGAACTTATTATTCCTCGACAGGTTTATGTAGCTGAAGCTGATGGAATTCCAGAATATGGTCTTAATGCAAGCTTAGGGAAGAGGCTGGTAGCTGTGAAGTTCTTGCTGAGAAATGCTACTGTTAAAGAAAAGTAAGTTAATAAGCACTGTAAGCATTCATGAAATTTTATTTTACCAATAATTTTCTGAGAAAATATCTGTTAATATATAATCTTATGTTTTTCTTATTAATAATCATTTGGAAAATAAACCTATTAAAAGAATTTAATGGTTCAATGATAAACAGTACTATTTTAAAAACCTAAAAGAGTAATTTGTTTAGAGTTTTTAAAGTTCTGTATTTTTATATATTTTTCTTATGTTTCATTAAAAACATAAATGAAATATTTCTTACTATACCGATAGTAGTTAAAGTTAAAAATTGATCATTTATTAAGGTTTTTAGTGTTTCTTTTTTTTTTTAAATAAGTTTATGTTCTTTATTTTAAGAAATTTTGTTACTTTTTTCCCTGAACTTGAAAGCTAAGGAGCTTAGCTCTGAGAGCACCTTCCCCTTTGTTACATTTTTTATAAATAAATGATCCACCATCCCCTCACCGAAATAATTAGCTGACCTCAAAGGAGGGGCTGAGTGGTTGAGAAACATGATGTGAGACAGTTGTGGGTAAAAGCCACAAAGAGAAGCACCCCATCAGAGGTCTTATAAGGAGGGTTCCCTGCTTAGGGCTTAAGTAACATTTATATTTCATAAGGGAACCTCTTTCTCTTTTTTTTCCTCTCGACTCTTGTGAAATCATGGATTATGCAGAATAATAAATCACTTAATATTATCAGCATCCCCTCTCACCAAACTTTAATAATTCTTCTAACTTGTCTAATAGATTTACTTCAAATACACTTTTCAAGATGTCTGGTCCTCCAGTATTATTTTATGATAATTTATGTGACTTTTTCTTGCTTTTAAATGATGTATGTGTTCTAGGAGTTATTAAGGAATTTTTTAAGGTTTGGGAGTTTATATAAAAATCAGATTAAAACAGAATTTGTGTAGATGATACCAATAACTTTGCTGTAACTCTATGAAGGAGAATTTTCTCTTGTGAGACTTTCTGTCATTGCTTTAATTGCATATAAAAGAGAACTTAGCAAATCCAAAGGTCCGATACTAATGTATAAAAAAAAATTAAAATATGTATAGGTTGAATATGTGTGTAGGAAAATATAAGGAAACAAAAATACGAAAAACCCTCCCATTTTACACGATGCAGTAAAAGAATTGATTTATTGAGTCATAAATATAAACTCAATAAATGAACTATAATTTAAGAGGACAATGTAATAAAGTATACTAAAACGGTGGTAAATATAATTAGTCTAATAAAAATTTTCTTGTGGGGTAAAATAGAAAAATTAACACTATCTTCTTGTCACTAAAATTTTGATTTTAATAACATAATTTTTACTTTTAGAGAGTTAGTCTATATAAAAGGTGGCACAAGGTAGCCATCAGCTGTTGGCAAATAGAATCATAAGGCCCACTTGCCAGACTAGTCCCTCCTCCCCAATATCATTATTCCATATATAAATATTATAACATTTTTTTTTACATGAAGTTAAAAATTATTGTTTCACATAATATTCTACTTTTATATTTTCAGAGTTGAATTCCAGCGTGATGTTCGCATCCTAGGAGCATTGGAAGATGTGAATATCGCTCGTGTTCTCGGGGTGTGCTGGCGTGAAGAACCATTCTGTGTTGTGATGGAATATCTCGAACATGGAGATCTCACTCAGTTCCTTAAAACTCATGTTCCTGCTGAGACAACCCACACACTTCCTCTAGGAGTCAAAACATTAAGGTAATATATATTTTACCTGCAAATTGGCTTGTTTTCATTTCAGTGATCTTAAGCATGTTGTGCAATATATTTTTTAATTAAATCTCATATCTAATATATGTTAATCGAAAAATAGTCCTGTCTTATATTTTTAAAAAAATATATCCTTATTGATTATATTTTGGTCATTTGTTAATACTGAAGAGCCAATTGCTGTAGTGAAAAAAAAGTTTTTCAGTCATTCATCTGCACTGTACCACAATTATTTCTAGAAGAGATGAAACAAATTAGTTGCTTTTTTTATTTTCACTTTACATTCGCCACCAAGTAAGGAAAATGTTGTAATATGGCCAAATATTTAGTGTTTAGTTTCAAAGCACCTGTGCATTTAAGAGTTTCTCAAATCCTTCCAAAAACAATTTTTTCACCCATTCGTATGAACTGTGCCACAATTATTTCTTGAAAGGAAGATACAAATTGGTTACTTTTTTTTTATTTTTTTTTATGGTTTTAGCCTCCTGAAGCCTGTGTACCAAATTTGTTAAGCTGTATACATTAGCTTAAGTGAAATACCCGAAAAAAAAAATTTTTCTATAAAGATGTTACTGCATAAACAATTGAAATTATTTTTATGATACTTGCCTGAAGTATTCCATAAATTTAATCCATATATCTAAAGTCTTTTATCTTCTCTAATATTTAGCACAACCCTGATATATAACACGAAAATAAAATTTGATTTGAATATAACTCATAAAGTGTACATTTTATAAAAAATTATATGATAATCATTTGACAATTAAGTTTTCTCTAAAAAAACTAAAATCTAATTTATAATATTATATGATAAATTAATAAATGAATATTATAATTTTTATAGTTTCAACTGTCTCCTCTACATGGCAACGCAGATAGCATCAGGCATGAGATATCTGGAGTCCCTGAATTTTGTTCATCGGGATCTAGCGACAAGGTAAATATTTTAACTTTCATCTTCGTGTTTAGATGGATAATAATTCTAGTGAATCAATAGAATTAATGAGAAATATTCAGGAAACAAACAATTTGTATGTTTTTTCACATAAAAAAGAAATGAAACAAAACATTAAGCGTCTGAAAAATTGAATAAATTATATTAGAAAATTATCATACTGGAAACACTTTTTAATTTACTTTGTGAGATCCTTTCTATAACACCATAGCTTTAGTAATGTTTTTTAAAACAGTAAGTTTATTCTGGTAGCCGAGGCTGAACAAATATTTGTGAATTCAGCCTCTTTTAATAACCCATTAGCACCTCGAGTAATAAAACATTTCCCTCTTGTTTTCTTTAACAGAATATTATTATTTTTTGAGTTAATGCATTATTTACATTAGTTTTGTTTTTAATATTCATACTATAATATATAAGGTTGTATGCTATAATATATAAGATTCCTTTTTCACTGCCTTTTGTAGATTTTCACCCTTTTTTTATTTTTTGTAATTATGCAAAACATGAATTATGCAATACAGTATAGAGATGTATAAACATAAATACGAATATTTTTGATAAAGGTTTCCTATTAAGTCTATTGATGAGTTTTCATAATTATTGAAATTCATATTTAATCCTTCTCAATTTAAAAGTTACATATGTTCATTTAAATGAATTTGTGTAACTTAAAAAAGATTTAACTTAAGAGACAAAATCTAATATTGTCACCATTAATGGTTCTAGATATCATAGCATCATGAAATAAATGGGAATAGACAAAAGAAAATAAATGTAATACTGTATCATTAGAAAAGGTAAATGAAAGAATTAAATTATAAAAGAAAACTGAAGTTTTTATTTGAAATAAAACATATTTTGTTATGCTTCACAATGTTCACATTTTAAAGTTTATATCTGGCTCTTTTATCCTACTAATTGCTTCCCTTTGCTCTTGAGGGTCGTAATTTTAAAGTGTTTAATTTTTATGTGTACAATAGTATTTTTATGTCTTATATTTTACATCGTAAATGTTTTCTATTATTTCAGAAACTGCCTTGTCGGTAAAGCTTATCAGATCAAGATCTCAGACTTTGGGACTGATAATGAAGCCTATGCTAGTGACTACTATAATGTCAATGGAAGTATGCCTCTTCCCGTACGTTGGATGGCATGGGAATCAGTATTTATGGTAAGATGAGCAATTTTTATCTTCTTTAATTTTCTTTAATTTTGAGAATCTTTCATGTGAGTCATTTATAATCAAAATATGTCATGTATATTTTTCAAAATTTTACAGCTTGATAAATAATAATAATAATAAGGCTTAGCGAACCCGAAGGTTCGATGCCGACACCACCAATCGCTTGTTACACACCTCCCTCCACCGTTCGCCGTCCAAACCCAGTCCCTTCAGATCGGCTTTAATGCAATCTTCCCACCTTCGCTTCGGTCTTCCCCTCGGACGCTTACCATTCGGCACAGCAAATATTAACCTTTTAGGAATTCTCTCGTTACTAAGCCCAACAACTTTACAAGCCCATTTGATTCGCCGCGATGAAATTACCTCAACTATATTAACCGGATACATCTCACGCAATTCGGCGTTGTGTAACCGTCTGAACTCTCCGGTTAACTCATCCTTCTTCGGTCCGAATATTCTACGCAATACTTTATTTTCAAAAACCTTAAGACGCTGCTCATCCCTTAATGTAAGCGGCCAAGTTTCGCATCCATAAAGAACTGAAGGCAAGATAATTGTTTTATAGATTCTAATTTTTAAGTTTCGGGACAAGAGGCGCGAACTAAGTAGTTTTGTCACAGAAAAATAACAAGCATTCCCCGCCTTCAGTCTAACCTTAATCTCTTCTTCAATTTCGTTTTTTCTAGTTATCGTAGAACCTAGATACTTAAATTTATCTACCTGTTCAAACATATTACCATCTATATCGATATCACCAGTAGTATCGCCATTTTTGCAGCTAACCATATATTTTGTTTTATCCACGTTTATTTCGAGTCCTAGTTCTTTACCCGCTTTCATTAACGTTGTCGTATTTAGTTTTATAGTTTCAACGTCTTCGCTTAACAGTACCAGATCATCAGCATAGCCCAGCACGGATGTTGTCCCGCCCAGATCCAACCCTTTCTCGGTTCGCATTACTTCCCTAATGGCATGTTCTAATGCCAAATTGAACAGGACAGGCGAAAGAGAATCCCCCTGTTTTAAGCCCGAACGTACCTCAAATTTTTCGGACAAATTACTACCGATTCTAACTTTATTGAGTGTCTCCGTCAAGCACATCCTGACTAGATTTACTAGTTTTTTTGGAATCCCCTGCTCGATTAGAATATTATACAGTTTCTGGCGGTCAATAGAATCGTAAGCCTTTTTAAAATCTATATACAGCTGGTGAACAATACCGTTATACTCCAATTTTATCTCTAATATTTGCCGTAAAGAAAATATTTGATCAATAGTCGAACGATTCCGTCTAAATCCGCATTGGTAGTCTCCGATAATTTCCTCGGCGTATTCCGTGATTCGACTGGTTAAGATTAAAGTGAATATTTTATAACATACCGGAAGCAGTGAAATTCCTCGATAGTTATTACAATCCGTCCTCGGACCCTTTTTGTGAATCGGAATAAGAATAGATTCTTTCCATTCTTCAGGTAATTTCTCGTTCACCCAGATCTTTTTAACCAACCGATGTATTTTAGAAACTCCAGCTTCTCCGCATGCCTTAATTAGTTCAGTAGGAATATTATCGATTCCCGCTGCTTTATATGATTTTAATTTTCCGATAGCTACTTCAACTTCCTCTTTACTTGGTCCTTCTATTAATGGTTCAGCACTCTGGTACTCAGAAGGAGGACACAGATCATAATTTACCGTATTTAAAATATTGTCAAAGTGGTCCTTAAACTTATTCAATATGTCAACCGGATCGGTCAGAATATTGTTATTATCATCCCTAATTCCAGACGTTACGGGCCCTACATATTTACGTGATCTGTTTATACCTTTGTACATTTCTCTTACGTTATTTTCAATTCTATTAGTTTCTATTTCAATTATTTTATTTTTAAGATACTCCCTTTTTTTATTTTTGAGCAATTTTGTCGTTTCGTTCTTTGAGATTCGGAAGTATTCCAGATTGACTTCGCTAGGATTATTTAGAGCTTTTAATTTAGCGGCTTTTCTTTTTTCACACATGTTTAAGCAATCTTCATCAAACCACGGTTTGTTATTCTTATTTTCCTTTTTTCCTAGACACGAGTTACCAACCGCTTTAATATTATCTCTGATCTCTATCCATAACTTGTCAATATCCTCGTGGTCCTCGTCAGGAAGCTCTAAAGCTCTAAACCTATTCTTAACATCTAGCTCGAATTGGTTTCTAATTGATGGATTCAGCTTGATAAATTAATTACAAAATATTTATATTCCGAAAAACAAAAAGTTTGGTCTTAGTTTAAATAACATCTTCCATAGTATTATTTGAAGGGTCTCAAAATTGTAAATTTTTAATTTCAATACATGCTTACATAAGCTGAAAATTGATAACTTGTATTGAACATAATAGATTTTGTTTTAAAGATATATCCAATATTGATTGAAGATATATATATATATATATATATATAAGAAACTGCCTTATATATATATATATATATATATATATATATATATATATATATATATATATATATATAATATATATATATATATATATATATATATATATATATATATATATATAAGGCATATATACAAGTTCAATACATTATATATATATATATATATATATATATATAATGTACCATCCTGATCGTGTCCGGTTATTATAAACCACGGGCTCCCTGGATACCTGGAGATTTTTGCTTCAAAGCTTGGTTCAAACACATCAATTGTAGTCTATAGCGATCTCTTGTGATGATTTCATTGGGCTGAACTAGCCCATAATAAATGATACCAAGTTGATGCCACCAAATGCAAAGTATAAGCTTGGAATCATGAATGTTCGGCTTTCCTGTTTTTGTTGAGGCGTGTCTGGACAGTCCTCATGGTTTTTTTTTTACTTTCACTTATTTATATATGTAATATATAGTAAGGAATCTCAGTTTTTAACGAAAATACACATTTTGAGTTCCTCTGAGTTCAAATAACCAAGTTAAAATAATTAAAAATTTCACATTAATCTTAGATATACAAAATAATTAAATGTAAAATAAGAAAGAATTTGATATTTAACTAGAAGGAGAAATAAGAGATAATAATGGATAATAGTTTAATGCAAGAACCAAAGGAATACAAACGCATCCGAGTTCGAAGATTAGAACAGACTCACATATGTAACATGAGCTTAATATAATACTGACTCCGACTGTATTATGCATAGCCGAGTATACATTTGCAGTTTTCATAAATACTATTATTTAATAATTAATAGTATAGATTATTATGATATAAATATTAAAATTGGATATACAAAGGTAATCAAACAAATAAAAATACCCAAAAGAAAATGTAAACTAAGAAAGAAATGTAAATATAGCATCTATAATTTTTACTTTCACTTTCCCTTTGTCTGAAAATACTTATTTCTGCTAAGAAGAAAGTTTTAAGTCATGTGATGAGTGCACAAGAATTTTTCACTTTGGGTTGTCTTAGCATATCCACTTTTCATCACCTGTTATGATAAAATATAGAAAACCTTTTCTCTTTTGTTGTTGATGCAGTTATTTGCAGATGGATAAACATTGTTTGACATCCCTTTCCTATAATTGATACAGTACCCAATTTTCTTGCTTTTGAACCATTCTTCCTAAAGCTTTCAAATGTTATGTAACTGTTGTCCGATCAATTCCCAATGATTCTCTAAGTTCTTCTTGCTTCTGGCATGGATCTTCATAAAGTAACGCCTCCAAATCTTCATCTTCAATTTTTTTTCCACTCGGATAATCATTATATCTGAGATCCAAATCAAAGATCTGTATGTTCTTTCTGATAGATCTTGGTTGCCATAAGTTTCCACAAAAATTGTATGCCCTTCCACTGCAGTTTTCTTATGGAAAAATAGTGTAATAAAATTCTCTGCAAAATAGGTTTTGAGTCTACACCATTTGCCATGCTTGAAGAGATATAAAAAATGTTGTATATACTTTGGGGATTTAAAATTTAACTCATGGAAAAGTAAATATTAGAAGATACAGTTTTTAAATGAATATGACTCAGGCAAATGGTTCCATCTTCAAAAATAATATATATAAATTCTTTTTACATTTCAATTAATTTATTTTTTACTAAACCTTCTTTACTAAAGTGGTAAGACTATCTTTCAGTTGTAATTGTTGTCTAAAATCTTCATTTTTTCTAATAATTTATTTTAAAAGCAATGCATTAAAAAAAAATGTGTTCTTATTTACTGTCTAATCTTTTGTTATATTTGCTTTAAAATATTAATGTCAACTTCATCTTCTCATCAAGCCAAGGCTAATCAAATATTAATGGAGACAGTTATAATAAAATAAATATGATTTTATACATATTAATCTATCTCTAAAAAATATAAATTTATGTTGTAATTTTCAGGGTAAATACACAACTAAGAGTGATGTATGGTCATTCGGTGTTACTCTTTGGGAGATCCTTTGTCTCTGCAGAAGGAGACCGTTCGACTCGCTCACTGATGCCGAAGTGGTCGAGAATCTAGCTCATCTTCGAGATGAGACTGGTGGGTTCGAACCCCTTCCCAGACCACCAGTTCCTTGCACAAAAGATATCGCAGATTTGATGGCTGAGTGTTGGAGGACTTCTGAAATTCAAAGACCTACATTTTGCCAGATACACCTTTTCCTCCAAAGGAAAAATCTCGGGTATGCGCCTGTTTCGTGAAATTGTTTTGATGGTTGAAGGATTTATTTATTTATTTATCATAAATAACTTTTTTTTATTAACTGATTCCAATAGTGGAAAGATCTGCTCCCTTCATTGTATAATAAAAATATAATGATTAAGTTAATTTAATTAGTTTTTAAAATAACTGTTTTCATCTTATTTACTACTGAATAATAGAATGGTAAGTAGCCTTCTAGAACTTTATAAGCTAAGGTTATCTCTTTTCAATTGATGAGAATTTAACTAACATTTTCTTCAGCGTTTTTATATAAAATAGTACTCACTATTTTCCTTTAGAACCACAATTTTTATCGGCTACCTTATCACTTTTTCTCAAACTAAGTTTTAATGTGTCATTACAGATATTAATAATATACATCTGCTTTACATTGGTATTATATGATGAGTGGTTATTTTTTTCTTTGGGATCAGTTATAAAAAAGAAAAAAATTAAAACAAGTGGCTAGTAATACATAGTTTTGAAAATCCTAAAAATTGTTTTCCTGTAATAAACTTAATGAGTTGATGAAGCTATTTTCCTGTCAGATGACGACTTGTTTTAAATGAAAGCATGACCAAAAGAAAAATATTTCTATATGTACAAAGACTATTGAAATGAACCTTTATGAAGGTTTACTAAATAAAAATGTAACTCTCCATTGTTATATTAAAGTTATTATTGTATATGACAATGTATATTTTGTAAATCACTATATGTATGTTGTATGTAAAAGTTTATGATGTAATCTATTATTTTTTAAAAATATATATAGTTGTGATTTGTATGTATTCTACCTTTTGTTCAGTGCTTTTTTTTATATATGTTTTCATTTGCATGAAAAAATTTTATAATTAGAATTGATGGCGTTCTGATATTGTTTGTTAATTATACATTTTTTTTAAATTATGCTGATTCCTGAGTCTAGTTACTTTTATCAAATTTTCATTATATAAAACAATTCTTTGTTTTTCATTAATTTAAAATCGCTGAATAGTTCTGTATTTATTATAATTCAGATAAATGGAGTTTTGAAAATGAATCTTCCTCATTTTTATGTTTTGTATTCTGTAACTTAGTTTTAACTGGTATCGATGTAATCTTACACTAGGGAAGAACTTTAATGCTCATTTGTAACTTGTGCTTAAGCATTTGCATGTACTAAATTTATTTCATAGCACCAGTTTATTGTGCTCTGTTTATAATGTAAAGTGATATTAAAGACTTGCCTGTAAATAATTTGATATATGCATTAATTTTAGGTAGTTATATAACTGAAAATAAATATATACATTAGTACATATATACATATAAAATATCTAAATGTATGCACTCATCTATATAGTAGAATAATGTGCATTTTATTCTTTTGTAAATAATAAGAAAAAATCAACATCGAATTATTAAAACTAATTGAATTTTCAGAGAACACTATGAGATCCCTCTTATATCACCAGCTTGAATCTTAAGCTTGTGCGAATTTATTTCTAATTATTTTTATTGTACCAGTTGTCTAATATATTTTTGTTTATAACCAGTTGGTATAGAGGATATTTTATTCTAAAAGAGAAGAAATTTTATCACCACAATTGATCTTTTGAAATGTTTTCAATTATATATTTTCTTAATGAACTTCTTGTTAAATGCTAATTATAGCAACTGGTTCCCTATTTGGGGAAAGTTGTATGACCAATATAACTTCTAGTTTTGTGCGTAGATCTTTTATTTTATTGCATATTTATATATGTACATATATATAACACCAGTGTAAAGTAAATATATTTAAATAAATGAGTTGTATCACTTTTCATACTTGACATATTGTATAATTTTTAGAATGATTTTATGAGGATGTCAAAAATACAAAGCCATGGACAGATGAGGATATCTATCAAATATTTGTAAATAAAGTAAATATTATTTATTGAGAACATATCTATCTATTTGAAGTTTATTGTGAGACAGGGAACAGAACAGATGATATTTTAATACAAAATTATCGAGAAATATAAATGACAATAAGATATAGTAATGCAGTTTGTACAATTACTATTAACAAGCAATTTAGAGTTTGATAAATGATTATGTTATTTAGTTTGTTGATTGATAACACAGGTTAAAGCTTTTTAGAATCATTAGCTTAAAAATAAGTGTTTTTAACTATTTAGATTCTCTAGTTTATTAGTGATTTATTCCAACTTTTTATTTATTTTCCATTTTGTTCTTTGTTTAATCCATTGGCTGATAAAAAGCGATGCATTGTGGTGACAATCATACTGACTGCGAGAAAATTCTCCTCACATTTCCTCTTAAGGCATTTTTTAGTTTTCTCACATCTAGTATACTTGTCTATCGTTTGATATGTTAGCAATGTGTGGATGTTTTCTTGACATCTTATTCGCAGTTATAACACTGTTCGAAATTTGTAATCTTAAGGTCAGTTGTAAACTAATAAATCTTTGTATACGTAAGTATCTACCCTTTCTAAAGGATACTCCTCTAGCTGTATTGTATTCTCAACTGGTGTTTAAAAAAAAAAAAATTAAATGAAATAATAATTGAAGCTAAATGTTTACTGAGGCATGTTGCTTTATAGACTAAGTATCAGATCGTATTTTCAATGTTAAGTTTTGTAATTTATAGAATGTATATACCTTTGTGATGTATGATTTGTATTAAATATTGATTATGTGATATATAGCAAGCCAATCATATTCTTATGTTTGGTTATGGTTTCCGTAAGCCTACAATTGTATATAATACTATATATGAATGTGGTAATTAGTATGTGTTTATGGTTTATTATAGTAGGACCATTTTTAGTATTTATAATTATACATATTGACTATACGGTCGAATGAGTTTATTTATAAATAATTCTGTATTAAAAGTTTAAGTTATCAATCCTAGTCATAAAATTAAAAATAGATTTTTAACTGATTGTAGATTTGCGTGTTCAGCGATGAGACTCTTGTACATTTTTAATGTTATATGTATATAGTTTAGATAAATGGTGTTTTGATTGACATTGATAACATCTGATGTCTATATATGTATGTAAGTCTATATTTGGCTATATAATAGTAGTTTTGGCACGATTAGACACCTCAAGACTTTACGCACGAAAAAACATCGACATTAATAAGTAAATAAATTTATTGACTATTTTCTTAAAACTTATCGACGTGCAAAAGCATGGATCGGTGTTTCTCTTTCACAGTGATTAGGGTCTATCTAAGTGCACAACGACCTATCTCGTGTAACAAATTATTTAAATAGTTATTTATTTAATGACTACATATCAGACTGTATGAAATTTATTCTATTATGTTTCATTCGGTTTACTTTTTTGTACTTTCTCCATTCGATGAAAAGAATGGCACTAATTATTATTTAATATATTGTATATTGGTCTTGATTAGAAAATGACCATACTGTTTAATAAAAATGAAATAAACAGTTATTGTTCATTTGATATTTTATTCCATAACACCCCATTTTCAATTATTTACCAAGCTTTGTTTGTTCTAGTTTACTATCCTTCCATCATATATGTATTTTAAAAATAACTTGGAAATATATAAGTACTTTTTTAAATTGAAAAATATTGCTTAATATCTATATTTGTAATATACTAATGAATTTCAAAAATCAATATGTAAATTATTGAATGTTTAAAATCATCAATCAATGAAACTCCACACAAAAATGTTTTAGATTTTTGTGACCATTAAAAACCATTAAAAGCAATATTCCTTCTTTTTAATTTACTATAAAACTTAACAACTCCACACTTTTCTAGGTAATAATTAAACCTTTATATGAGACAAGATGGAATCAGGCCCTGAACTATTTCATGGCCATCCAGAGATGGGCAAATCTATATTCAAAAATATAAATACAAATAACATTTACATTTATGATACTTATGAAAATAAATATTCTTATATTTATATTAAAAAAGAAATATGAATACAGATGTTTCGTATTCATGGCTGTGAATACAAATATAGAATATATTCACCATTGTAAAAGTTAATTCGGCTATATTTACACTTGTAAAAGTGAATACAGCTAGCTGTATCCATGTTTATTAAAATGTATACACTTAAATTTACAAAAGTGAATGAAAATATGTTCACCTAATCTTATGAATGAATGAATATTCTTATTTATTAATATATATTAAATTGTGGATTTAAATGGAAATATTAAATAAATATTAATTTCCAGTCAAATCTAATTTCATTCAGCTAGAATGTATGGTTTGATATTTTTCAAAGTAAAACAAAAAAAGTTTACATCGGATATACTAGACTGACTCACCTCCACCTCATAACAAAAGATTCTATCCCTCGATGTCAAAAGTGTAACCAATCACTAACTATAAGACATATTTTGGAGGAATGCCCTTTTTACACCGCAAGATTAGAAGATTTTGGAATACCCCGGAATATATCAGCGTCCCTGGGAAATCAGGAAGAAATGGTTACCAAAGTCATCAAGTTTATGGATAGTGAAAGACTTAAAAAACACATTTGACAGACTTTTTTTTTTAAATTTATTAATTTCCTTTTTATCTATTTATTTTTATTATATTTTCTCTTTTTTTTTTTTTTTTTTTTTTTTTTTTTTTTTTTTTTTTTTTTTTATTGATTCTACTGCTATTTTTTAAAGTTTATTTATTTATACATTTTTTATACATCTTATTACCTATAAATGTCTATTATTATTCTTATTTATTTATTTTATTCTATCAATCCATTTCTTTATTTTTTTGTCCTTTTTTTCTATTTTTATTTTTTGTACCAACCATCCAAATAGTATTAAGTGATGTTATTTAGTTGATCGGGCGCTTATGACCTGGATGTTTTGCGCCTAGACATCGAAACAAACAAGAAACAAAAAAAGTTTACAAAAATTAAAATAAAGTTCTAGACAGTAAGGGGTTTATTGAATTGAATCAATCTCTTCAAAAATTTGCTAACTTTTGCTAAATTTTCTCTTCAATCAAGGTGTTTGCTAACTTTGACTGCCCTTGCTCATCTCACCCTAAGGCTGTCTTGTACGCATATTCCAGGGTATCTTTGCAACTGTTGTACTTAACCTGACCATCCATTAAGCTTATCTTTATTACCATTACCAACCCATAAGTAAATAGGGCACTGAAAGGCTTGTAGGTCTAGGACCATTGATGCAGACTTTCCATTCTGGTTGGGCTAAAAGGGAAATAATGAACCCAACAAAAACAGTCTCAGGAATTAATATTATGTATTAAAATTACAAGTGATACATAACATAACATATTATGAAAAGAAGAATATAATACTATATATAAAAATAAAATGATATATGTACGATACATATATGGTAAATATTTTTTTTTGTGTGTGTAGAGGTGTATTTGAAAATACGTTAACAAACTAACTGAATATGTTACATAGTTTTATTTGGATTTAAAGGTTTGATTCAGTGAGATGAACTAACTCATCACTTGATATTTTCTGTCTGAAATGTAATAAAATCTTCAAGTAAAAATGAAAGACCATTCATGAATTAATCATAAAATCCTAGGATATCTTGCTACATATAATCAATCACCTTTGAATATTAACTAAAATTTCTGTAATAGGAACATAGGCTGTTGTAAAATACCTATATATATACTTATAGGCCTTAGCTAAGCCATTTAGTCAACTTATCCAATTCTCTTAATTGACTTTAGTTTGTTAGTTATATTATAAACCTCTTGCATCTACCACTAAACTCATGAGGGTCTTGTGCTCAGATCATTTTAAGGAATTTATATATTGTAACACCCCCAGGTCCTTCTTAGTATGAGCAAAGCTTCAAACTATTATAAAGGTGTGATTCAGGTGAGTCTCCTGTAAGCTGCTCTGTACAAGCTCACTGATACAAGAGGATTTACAAGTCATAACAGGATTAGGCATTATGGCTATCCACAGCAATTTCTAAAATAGATATCTCCCTAGAAGAAACACCTTCTTTCTGTTGTAGCACTTGCAACAATTGTGCAAGAACTTTAACATATAAAATCATGATAAACCAACAAATTTTCCTCCTAATTAAGGGTATCCACTTTACAGAGATTGAGTGTGCCATAAGATAGTATCCCGATGCCAAGGTGCTAATGTAACAGAATAAATAACAATAAAATACAACCATACTCGAACCAACAACCAGGAAATATGACAGTGTTCATATTTACTCTCTGAGGTACCCTCTTTCTCTGTAAAATCCTTCATAAGTAAACAAACCACTTTATTTAGGTGAAAAGAAAGGAAATGTTCAGTTGGTAAAACTTTATTTTAAAATTAAATAGTAATAATAAAATCATTTCTATTTAATCAGCAAATGATATGTTTTGCAAATGGACATAGGTGCTACTAAAGGCCATACAACTTTTTTTAGATGGCTCTTGAAGAATGAACTTCGAGTCCATAGGTAGAACTGTTCCGTTGGTAAAACACTCTTCCCTATTATTTTAGAAAATGTCGGACAATAAAAAAAGAAAAAAATTTTTTTTTATTTTATTTAATTTTTTTCTTATGTCATAATCATTGGTCATTCCACCATCCGACATCTTGCTGCCCAGTATGATTTTTTTATATAATCATTCACATATGTTATATTTCTTATGTCAGTCAAAGCAGGACACTTGTCTAGGAGGTTGTATCCATTTTCGTTTATTCATATAATTTAAACCTACGATCCTCAGCCACGCCTATCTTGTGAAGATGACTTCATAGATCGTCGTGACCAGTGGCCAGGCGGAAGCAGGCTACTGCATCTCTTCTTGGTAGTTCTGCTGGAATCGGGTTTTCCACCAAACATCCATAACGTCTCCCTTCCACCTTGTCTTTGTTCATATTTTTTGTTTCCTCCTTCACTACCATTCTCACCGTTCGTCGAATTGAATCATAAGATTTTGGATGGAGTGTTTGAGGCAATTCTGCTCCTCTCTTGGAGAGACTATCAGCTTCCTTATTTCCTGGAATAACCCAATGGCTCAGAATCCATTGGCATGCCAATACCACGGAATTTTTTTTTTATAGATTGATACTAATAATTTTAATTCCTTAATACTCAACAATGTTAAAGAATTAGAATATAAATGTACTGATTTATTACTGAGCAGCTTTCAAAAGAAAAATCTTCATCCATGTTTTATACAGGTTCAACCACATCAAGTCATATCAAGGTAAATGACATGATTCAAATGGGCCAGCAAGTCATTTTCTGCACTCCTATTCATCAATATTTTATGAAAGAGGCCACCCAAAATTTCCCATTCATTAAATTATAAATAACTTACAAAAAAGTTCAAAAAATGCTCAAGTAACCTTATTAATTATATTATATTACAGATAATAAACTGATGACTGGGCTACAACTTTATGTGTGGTGTTCTTACTTTTATTCTCCCCAATATTTTTTAAGTCCCAGCACTTATGGTGGAATAGTCTAAACGGGTAGAATTTTATTTCATATTGAAATCAGGGAATAAATATTAATTGTCTTTCTGCTAAAGTTGGTAGATAACCTTTAGGGTTATCTGCTATTTCTGTCAGACAGATGTTGCACATAAATGAGGTCATGGTGGTGAATAGAGGTGCCCAGAATAGTCTGTGGGCCAGACCCCTTTACCATGCACCCCCCCCCACATCCCAATAAATTGCATATCGTTGTGTTCCTTGTAACTATTTATTAAAAAAAAGCCAATGTTCCCACAAAAAAAAGTGAACGCACTGCCCCAAAATGGCGTCCAAAGATGGCGGATTGACGACTTTGACTTTAGTTAGTTTTTTGGTCACTGCGAATCAGCATTTGGCTTAATTTCATCATAGTTGGTCTTTTATTAAAGCTGAATAGTCATAGAATAATAAACCATGAAGAAATATTAAAAAATAATTGGCTTAGACTATGAAAAACACTACTAAAGTCAATTTTTTTAACAAAAAAATTTTCAACTTAAAAATAAAGCGTCATTTGTAATTAAACGGCCTACAATAACGCAAAACGTGATGAAATAAACCATCTGGAGAATATATTTTTCTTTCCAAAACGCTGATTATTTTTTAAAAACTTTTGAACAGTTCCGTAGAAAATGCACTTATGCGGCAGAAAAGCGATACTGGCGTGGGTGCCTACAGGCCTCTACCACACCATTCAGTACACATAAATGGCTTAGTTAAAGTGATATAATATCATTTTTGGTACATTATATTGGTTTTATTAACGAACAAATATTAATGCAATAATTTAATTGTAAAAAAAAAAAAAATTAAAATTTTTTTTAAAAATTTATTATTTTTTTTTTATTTAACCATCTTTATTTCTACACGTAGGTCGTGTAAGAAGACCTTGATTGTAAAAATGATATAATTATAATAATAAAACTTAATTAAAAAACTTTGCTAAATATCTTGATTTTTTTTTTATTTAACGT